TAAATTGAAGTTGTAGATGAGTTGGGAACATTTCCTGAAAATTTTAGCCTCCCAGCTTTCCTGGTTCTGGAGTTATTCGTTTTCCCGCCAAAAATTTTTACGGGCCCGTACTTGGCAACCACGCATGGGGGGAGGCTGAATTTGATAAATTGAAGTTGTAGATGAGTTGGGAACGTTACCTGGAAATTTCAGCCTCCCAGCTTTCTTGGTTCCCGAGCTAGCGATTTTCGCGCCAGGAACTCTCGGGGGGCCGTACGCGGGAATCACGAACCCCCGGGAGCTGAATTTTAAATCTTTAAGTTCTATAGGGGCGGTGAACATAACCTCAAAATTTCAATTTTCTAGCTTCTCTGGTTGCCGGGTTAGCTGTTTTCCCGCCAAAACTTTAACCCCCTCGTACGCGGGGCCTAGACGTGCTTGAGGGTTGGTACCGCGGTCCTGGGGTGGCACTTGGGTAGGGAAACCACTGGCAAAATTTCGGCGCCGGAGCTTGCTTGGATGTCGAGTTGAAATATCCGGACGGACGCACACACACACATACACACACACACACACACACACACCGGGGTTGTCACAATATGCGTTTTTGCATTTGCATATTATGCAAAAACGCATAAAAAACAATAAAACGCTATTTTCATCGACCGGAGGTGTCCAAAGGAACGAATTCTGGAGGGCAAGCAGCACCGGCTGGCACTGAGAGCTCGACGCACTGCTGAAAGTATGCGAAGCAAATTTCGAGGAGGGGTTGGGGAGGAGACGTGAAGGGAAGGATGTTGAAGAGAGGATGAAGTAGCAAATATTTTGACGCATCTGAACATTTCTGGTAACTACTGAGTTGAGAAGGACGGCAGTGCACAATCAACAAAGTAGGCTAAAGTACAAAAGCGTCTTCCAGTTGCTGACGTGCGTGATGCAGGTAACATACCCATGTCACCCTCCACAGAGGTGTGCCTGGCTGAGTTCTACAATAGAAATATTCTAAAAAAATTTTAAGCGGAAATAAAGGACGGAGTGAAAAGAGAAACAGCAAAATTCTATATAAACTGTTTTCTTACACATCTATATCTATTATACCGCTGTGCACCTCATGCCCTGTCAAATCTATAGTACGACCGTAATAATAAGTGAAATTGCAGCATCTTCCTCCGCAATTTATTCGTATCGCAAGCGCATACACAGAAGTACACCAAAGAAGTGACTATTCCAAACAGGAATCGGTGGCCATCACCGCCATCACCTCTTCGAGAGGGAAACACCTGTTCGCTCCTCTTCCCCTCGTACCGAGTACTGGGGGGAAACCACCTACTCCTCCTCCCTCCCCGCAAGAAATTTGTCCGAGCAACTACACAAGTAATGCAATCCAGCTGAAATATGACCACCCCACATTACACAACGAAAGCACACTGCCCGAAACCAGGCCCTCCATCCCGAGATTGCTATCAACACGAGCAATTCACGTGAACGACACACACTCATTGCAATAATCCAGAAACACATTGCTCACTTCCAAGCACCCGCCCCCAAACATTCCGGTTTCATCACGCAACATTTCAAAATATCTTCTCTGCACACTCAACGTTCAATGGGATATTTTACACAGACTTACATGCACACACACGCATGCAGAAATATGCAGATTAGTTTATACGTGACTGCAACATACGTACACACACAAACAAACACACGAGCACATGAACCTGGCAAAATACACGCACGCACAAACTACGTACACACACATACACATACACACACACACACACACAAACAAATCCGACAAGTACAAACCTGAACTGCACAGACACACTCGAAACGGCATATATACAAATCTGACAAAGTACAC